GACTTATTGTTCGTAATTAACTCATTCAATGGTGCGACAACCACAAGATAGTTCCTATTATCTAATGTCTAATTGTCCTTTCCAACATTATTATAACAGAACGTATAATTTATTTATATGCGCTTTTCCGTGGGTTAGCGTGAGAGCTATTTGAACCTGAAGCTTCAAGGTTCGATACCCGACACGACTAACCTGATGTCAAACAGTGTTGGTTTTTATTTGGAAATGTAGATTGCAATTTGTTTGCAACTGAAAATAGCCCTTACCCAGCATTGCTGCATAAATAAAAATTCATTACTATTAACAAAACTGTGATAATGAAATTCACCACATAGAGATGGGACAATTATTTGAGCTGCAATCTATGAAATGCGAGTTTAGTTGAGTAACTTATCACAACAGCTCATAGAACCCTGAAAGGTCTGATCGCTGTTCAATGAAAGAATTAAAAATAAATCCTACTTATAGATTTATTGAATAATTTCTATAAATCGTAACGAGTGTTGTTCCATCACCGTAAAAACACTGCAAATCTTACTTGTAATAAAATTCATTTTTTTTTTCGATATGAACTACATAAAACCAAAATTATGTCGATTAAAAATTTAAAAAATCCCGGATTTACACCTTGTGTTCCGGGTTTTTCTAAAAGCAATATTTGTTCCGGATTTGAATCCTTTGGTCTGAATTGTCCTGGATTTTGCAAAAGTATAGGTTTAAATTGAATCTTTGCAATAACTTATGAGCCCAATTATCAAAGTTATATTTTTCAACAGATTTGAGATTTACAGTACCACTAAAAATACTCCTCGCACTACAGTTTCTGCATTGAGTATCACTCTGACGTATTTAAAACATATTACAATACGGTCTGCATAGTATGCATGTATATTATGTTATATGTTTGCTTGATAATTTTAACAAAGCCACAACAATGACGGTGCAGAAACCAGTGAAAAAGAACCTCGCACAATGTATCGGCGATCGATCAACATGTAAACAGTCAGTCAGAGAGTTCGAGATAATATCGGAATGGCCAATGTGAATGATATAATATTATACGCATTACTTTATTTGGTGCATATGAACCTATACCGTATGCATTTCCATGTGGTCTCATGTAATATTAGCTAATTAGTTTTATATGCTTTCGGAGATAAATTCGTGGCAGCATAATCTGTTGTGTTTTTAGAATGATCGATCATTTACTGTTAAATTGCATATGAATGATGTAGATTCCTATATCACCCATGTAGAGGTGATACAGAATTTTGGTTGTCATCTTCGGAATTCTTAGCATAGTTTTATTTTCAATCGAAGCTGAAAAATTGGCTAAGAAAATTAACAATTTCATGGCGGAATGCTGGATTGTGGTATTTTGGGGACTTTAAACTAAATCTTGAATGTTACCTGTTGATTGCTGCTGAGCTTCCGTACATATTTGAAAATATGTAATAAATTGTATTCAATGAAAATTTGTATAATTGATAGTTGAAATTTTGAGAAGCATATATTTGAAAAATGTATGTGGTAACTTTTGAAATGTAAAATAAGATTTTTCTCTACATTTATTCAAAATCTTTAATTATGATACTTTTTAATAAAATTAACTTAATATTGGGATCACCGATGACACCAAAATATATAGAGATCACACCGATGACCCCAAATATATGTTGTGCCTTACCGCTGCCACCAAAATATGTAAGGTACGCTGCCACCAAAAAATGTAAGACCCGCTGTCACCAAATAATATGTGGAGCGCCGAGTTAGTTAAGTAGATCATCACAACAGCTCATAGAACCCTTAAAGGTCTGATCGCTGTTCAACATAAAAATTGATCATTGATATAATTTGTTTGTGATTATTTATTTCATAAAAAATTTACTTTTTACACAACCGCCACTGCAAATACAACTGACTCAACTACTCAACTAAAAACTAAAAACTAAAACTGAAAATTACATGGCTACAACTAACTGAAATCTACTCCGGCTGTTAATTGCCCCGACAACGTTATTCAAAGGCTCTTCATAATATTCTTAAATAAGGCGGTATAATGCATTTTAATGTAACATTTTTTTTTACCTTGTTTACTTGTTTGAGTGCATAAAGAATTTCTAAGAGAAAGTTAACAATAGAATGATATTGATAAGAAATAACGCTATCAATGCACGTGTGTGTGACTACAATGATAAACTACATTGAAATAGGTTAGGAATGAAAAATCAAATATATTGGTAGTTTATATATTAACAGTTAGTAGTAATAAATACCGGTGATAATAATAAATGCGAACGAAGCACGTAGTGGTTAACACTATGTATGAAAAGTTGGTAACGAAGAATGAACCTTCTAACACATCGGAGCAAACTGATAAACAATGAGGATATGATGAGTTTTTCACTTAATAATGTTGCTAAACTGAACGAAATATAATATTTATATCTGTTGTTGAATGACAGCAGAAAATCTGCTCTGGCTCTAAGGTTGTCCACGTTTCACTAAAACTCAAGATGGACAAGGTAAACATGGAGCTTCTATTTTATGTATATAATAAAAAATGAGTAAAATAATGTAAAGATAAATAGTAAATAGTATGTAAACTAATTGGAGATAATATAATTTTTTTAGAAAAATAGCAAATTTTTGTACACGGTTTGATGGCGTTTAGGTATATTTGAAATAGTTCACTCTGGTTACCAACTCCTCATTTAGTTTGCACTGTATATTGTAGACTGCAATATGCGATTCTTAAATAAAATTCTACAGTAATTAAAACTTATTAGTCCTACAAGCTCGTTGTGATGACTTTCTAATATAATGACGGCTTTATAGATGACAACCCAAAAGTTTTTTTGGTCATCTTTTTTTGATAAACCTATCATTGGAATGATACTGACTTTATACTGGATACAGCAACGCTTGCAAAAGCCAATTTTACTTGGGAACATATTGTTATATATATTTTCAAGTGAAAACTGATGTCACCACTGTTGAACATCAGGTTGTCCGAGGCAGGTATCGACCCTGTTACTTCTGATTCACAGTTTTAACTGAAATGGGTTTACGGAATTTCATATGTAGAACTAGATATTATGCAAACTGGACTATTAAATTCATCAAAATGAGTTTGAGCTAGTCTTATATTTAATGCTGTTTTATATAAAAAGCATCTTATCAAGAAATCTTGGAAATTAGTCGGTTTATCAACCAGGCCAAATCTGTTTACCGAATTAGGAGTGTCTTTAACATCCTGCGTTAGGCGGAGCTCGGAGACAAAGTTTCGCAGAGACGTTTAGTTATATATGTTTCGACAATTATGTGGTCGGAGTGTACAGCCGCCTGTTAGCGTTAATTTAAACGGTCCACGAATTTCAACCTATCATTACATCGAGGTCTGGAGCGCGCGTCACGCGGACCGAATAAAACGGTGTAGAACTCGTCACGCGAGCCCAAAGTGTTGTAAAAAGCGTCGACATGTGACGTCACGTCGGGAAGAATAATTGACCTTATTGCAAGAGTGCGGAATGTTTGAAATTTTGAAAGACTTGTTTGAATTACTAATGATTGCACGAAATGCTGCGGGCTGTGTTTATTTAAAGCGAATTTAAGGAAAAAAAATGAGAACGGGATGATTTATACGAAAATAATAACAGGGGGTTTTCAATTTTTATATCGCTCCTTCCTTTCACAAGCTGAATCAAAATTGTAATAAGAAAACTAAATTATATCATCAAATCTGTTATCAATTTGATTATGCAGTATTTCTGATAATAAAACCTTTAAAAAAAATTATTTATAGAGTATTATATGTAAAAATTATGCTTGAACAACTAATAATTGTTTTTAATCTTGGTCAATGATTGTTTTTGTAGTACTAAATTACATTAAAAAAATATAATAAAATATACAAAAATGAATTAAAATTGATGACATAAAATAAAACTTTAAACCGGCTAAAACCGTTTTTTATAAAAAATACTATTCTAAAACCGTTTTTTCAAAATGGTGTTTTTTTTATAAATGTATCGTTACCGTTATTATTTTGTAAATTCTATCGTTTAATCTGAATGCATAAAAATAATTTATTTATAAGCATATCAATGTGCTAATCTTATCATATAATATTAAAAAAATAGAAATTTGGTTTTATTTTCCGAATATTTTATCAGTAACCTTAATCTTAATTCATAATAAAGTATATATACATAATATCTCTATATAAATGTACTCTATATAAAAATAAAATATAAAATATAATAAAAATACAAAATAATTCTATATAGAAGTTAGTAAAGCAATAAAACTAAATTCGTTTGTTATTTGAACTTTATTATTTAAATCAATCGATTTTTTCAAGGATGAAACAAACTAAAAATATGCTTAGCAGATATATTTTTAGATAATAAGAGCATTCCATTCATAAAGTCGTAACGACACAAAAGAACGAAAATCATTTGACGCGTGTCACAGATGTTTCATAAAAAAAACATATGACTTACACAACTATAATTAATGAACTTTCTCTGCTAACAAGTAACATATTTACACCCGACTTACTTTTAAAATTAATTATAACAGAAACTTATAGATTCTGTATATATGAGCGAGAACAAAATCTTGCGCTTTAATATTAAACCCATTCAGTAAATTATACTATTCCCAAATGTTTTATTTATAAGAATGCTTAATTCATGCAAAATGTATCATATTATTAACACGCCACGAGCAGATTTGAACATATGATTGTGGGAGTACAAATGTTTCTAGAATTCTTATGAATGAGTCTGTTTTAGAATAAATTTGTAAAACGAACTATTTTTAGCTAGACTTATTTTAAAGTACAATGAAAACCACCTACATTTTAAATATATACGATACATTTAAAATCGAATAAGTAATGTAGTTTAGCATGATATCCGGCCATATAGGGATTCATCTTCATGCACGGCAAGCGTAAAATATTTAAATTAATTCAAATATTTCCTTATTCGCAGCGAACGGGTCGTTTCTGCCGGGCATGGAACCGAAACGACAACGCACTGCATACACGCGGCACCAGCTGCTCGAATTGGAGAAGGAGTTCCACTTCAACCGCTACCTGACGCGGCGGAAGCGCATCGAAATCGCTCACGCCCTGGTGCTGTCCGAGCGGCAAATCAAGATCTGGTTCCAAAACCGCAGAATGAAATGGAAAAAAGACAATAAATTACCCAATACCAAGAACGTTAGGAGGAAAACAAATCCTGCAGGAGTCACGACGACCAAACCAGGTTCTGGAGGAAAAAATAGCCGAAGCAAGAATTCCAACAACAACGACAAAAAGAAGGCGAATAATAATGGTATAGTCACATCTTCTGTAGAATCAGCGGACGCAATGCTGGACGACTTAGGAGTTAACTTGGGTCAACATCCAGGAATGATGCACACGCATCCAGGAGGCACCGGTATGTCCCATTCGCATCCCATGCACGGAGGATTGATTCCTGGAGAACATTTAGCGGCTCTTGGACAAATTACACCCCTAACCCCATCTTCGTCGAGTGGCGGACTTGCGGCATCTGTACCTTCTAATTGCACGCCCAGCCAAGGGGTTCCTCAAGTCACTATCAAATCTGATTATGGCCTTACGGCGTTGTAATGTCACAACAAGCTGGCGAATAGTATTCTGACAATTGCAGTGCACGAATGTTATTGACTATAAATTGTTCATTTGAAGTGAATTTTATACGATTATGGTCGGACAATCATAAATGGTGATGTGCTGTGTCAGTATTTGACCTCGTGGTAATGTGATAAATACATTGGATACTTAAAAATTATTTCGAACAAATGCTAGTGTTTGATTTGTAAGGACGAATTGCAATTTCTATATAACTTGATCAGATTGTACAAAATAATTATTGAGTGTAAATTTGTGTTGATGCATGTGTCACTGATGCCAGGAATGAATTAAATATAATTGTTTGATATTTTATTCCTTAAATGTGTTTAATCAACAATAATTTTAGTATAGATTTGATGTTCTATTATTAAATTTATTTTGATGTGAGATAACCTTACACACTTGTAATGCTTATTGTGTTTCATTAATTAAATAATTATGGCCAGTATAGTACACAATATAAAGAGCATTTGATAAAGCTATTCAAAACCAAAATATATTTTTTAATAAAAATTTCAAATATAATCCGCGTTTGCAATGCTATTATTATTGTAATATATCAATTATTTTGCTAGTAAAAATGGTTAGAAAACGATTAAAGCCATATGGAATGTGCCAGTATTTAAATTTAAATATAACGCGTAATGCTGCCATTATTATTATAAAGAATATTTGAAAATTGTTATTTAAATTTTGTCAATTCTAACAACATGTAAATTTTAATATACGTTTAGATCATGTATGCAATCAAAATAATTGAGTTTTATTATCCGTTGTTCATTGAAACTTTCATATTTATTGTTTTATAGTAACAATGGAAAATACATCAGATTTTCTATAGTAAAGATTTTAATTGCAAATTTTTTCTCTTAACAAATGCTTTATGCCTGGTCTCAGAATTATAATAAAGCAAACACAATTTACTGAAAATTGTTAACAATGTGACAATTATGCAATGCATTTATTGGTTATCAATTTAAGATTAATGAATAAAAAACATTGACCGTTCGTCCTGGAATTATGTCAGATATTCCAAAGCTTGGACATAGTGAACATAGCAAATTGACTTTTGTGATGATTTTATAATGTAAGACACATTTCCAATTATTATTTCTGTAAAATATGTATTCTTGATGAACATTACACGAAATGCAAAAACAAATGTGGAAAATATTTTAACTGTGAAGATTAGGTTGCATTTCGCGTAATTTTCATTTATAGTATTAAGAGAGATTAAAGTACTAGTACATATTTGTAAATTTATTAGTATAATGAGATATATACAAAATAAGGACACACTTAATAAATAAATATGTATACTTCTATAAAACACTGTTTCATTCAAAATATTTCAGAAACAATCTAGAAAATAAAAAAAGTTGTTTTTATCGATAATGATGGCCACTATTTTAGACGAGCCGAATAACTGTCATATCTTTTTTTAATATATATATATATATATATATATATATATATATATATATATATATAAAGAAAATGTTGAAAAAAAAGTTATATAATGTTTAAAAAGCGTGTTTGAACATGTGTGTCCCCGGACTTTTTCTTTTCATTTTTTCGATAAATGTAATTGCATTGACTAAAACACCAATGTGATTAAATTTAATAATTAAATAAAAAAATTATTAACTTCATTCATGTTAAATTTGGTTATTGTATTTTAAGTCATAATTTCAAATTATTGTTATAAGCTATTTTAAAGTTATGACTATTGTTGATATAAAATCATTTCACTGACAAAAATTTTGATAACATTTTTACCATAAGCGCAACTTTCAGTTTGTACATTGTCAAGTTAAGATACTAGCGTTTGTGTCTTTTAGAGGTTATATTTTAAGTGTGATCGTATAGCAAAAACATTGTTTTTTGTCTAGCAACTCATACGAATATAACCCCATAACATAACAATTCTATTTTATCTGCGAATTGACTTCTAAGTTTTGGTTGAATAAATTATGATATTATGGAATAAAAATAATAAATAATAATAAAATCAAATATTTGTAAATAAAAAATAGTAACAATAACACTAACTAATGCGAAATTTTATTTAAAAAGTAACTTTAGTTCTAATAAAAATATTAAATAAAACAATAAGCATGCACTTTGATCAACACGTTTGCAAGCGTGAATGTAATAACATTCTTTTTCATTGTGATGCAGAACATGACATGAATGCTATAGCATTTAATGTCAATTATTTTGAATCAAACCTTAAATTTTTGTAACTATTATAACTGTCAAGAAAATGACTAACTGATTCTTTGGGTGTTTTCGTATTATCTCATCTTTTCCCGTAGTCACTAATTAGCTTGGGTAGGTAAATTGCGTAAAATAGAAGCGTATTACTTGACGTGGATTGCTATAGCAGTCGTCTTAAGTAAAGATTAAAATTTGATTATTTAACTATCCTTATAAACAGCGTTTAATAAAATTTCAGATGTCACAAACAATTTCAAAATAAACGACTGTCAATTTTTGTACCTTTGATGTCCGCGAATGTGTTAAAATTATTAAGCACAGACATTTCAAAGCATCTAATTTATTTTCAGTCAAAGTTAAACAAATCAAGTTCAAAACACTAAATACTATCTTTACTGCAGATACTATAGCATAAAATTTTCTTCTTAACCCGTTAAAGTTTACAACCAAACGACATCTAAAATTTATTTAAATTTCTTCGTATTGAAAACTTTCTAATATACACACTTTTTCATATCCAAAAATATAAATATCCACCAAGTCTAAAAATTTCACGGTCGGTATGCAAGATTTATTTCTATTTATTGCCCGTTGTCTCTTGCGAAAAGGCTCATATATCATGCAAATGTAAACGTCGCATGTGCATATTTTGTCGTGCGGCAATCAAACAAGAAAAATTCGCCGTGAAAGGGTTGAAGCAGAAGAGTTAGAAACCCCCGCTGGTCAGTCAAACGGATTAGTAGAGGATAATCCGTCGTTTGTTGCAAATTACAAAACGAAATTCGGCAATAGGCGCCGACTACTGTGTTACAACCGGCTACTGGCGAAATACGCACGCCGGGCGCACATCAAACGGCTTTGTGAAGACTTAAGGTATATTTTGCAAGCAATTATATTATTGCTGTTTTGTTGTTATTGTCAATGGTAAAAGTCAACCCTTAATTCCTCGTATCGATGACAGAAGATAAGTTTTGCACAAGTCCACGGACGGCATACAGGTTTGGAATGTGAATTTCTTCAACTGGACAGTAAATAAAATTGTAAGATACGAAAATTTTAGTGTCTAAAAGTGTATGTTAAATAGTGGAGCATGGCATCGTGCCTTAAGGCAAATTGCTGGAACTTCCGGTGGCCAAAAATTAAAGTTTTCAAAAGAGCTTTACAATTTTTTGAAAACTTTCTATATGAAAATTTGAATCTTAAAATTTTGAAAAAATTTCACATTGATTTAATTAGTTTTTTTTTTAATTTGAACTTTTTTCAAAGTAATCGCTATTTTAACTGCGTAGAGACGAAATATCAAAGCGTCTAAGCGCCGCGTCGCAGTTTAAAGAATGGACATTGGTATGGGACCCATAGAATTAAAATCAAAATTTGTACTTATTATTAAAATCTCTATAAAATCTGATAATTTGATGTGCATATGTCTAATGATGATTTTTGTCCGCTAAACCTGCCTCCCTAAAAATAAGTTCTTCATTTTGTCAATACAGGTAAAATGTTTTTTGAATTATTAAAATCGGACGCTGCGTTCTCTTAAAAATTGAATAACCATTTTTGGCACATTTTGCCCTGTATCTTCGAAACGCTGCACCTGTTTTTGTCAAAAACTAATCAGCACGTCTCTTTATCAATGGGAAGCGAATAATTTTTGAATCATTTAAAACGGTTGATTTATGTTCTCAAAATCGTCGACAAAATGTTGTATCCGCACATACATACAAACTTGGGGAAGTTTATGCAACTTGCGTTGAGGTTCAATGCCGCTTACAACTTCTTATTGTACAGAATCATAGCCTTAAAACTCGACATTTCAGAAAATATTTTGATTTTTTTTGAACAAAATTAAATTCCAAATGATCACTGTTATATACGCAGACGAATATACTCGTAAATACACAAAATTCTGCATGACTTTTCCACTTTCAGTTTGTTTTTTAAAAAAGATTGCTCATTGTTAGTCAGTAATAATTTATTCTATATTTGATCTTATTCTGTAATATCTATTATTACTATTTTTCATATAATACATGTAGTATTTGAAATAGTATGAAAAATATTTTACCTTTGCTGATTTAAGTGCGTAGAAACTATGTTGATATGAAGTACATACCTGAAACAAATAAACAAATTATTGATAGAATTGAGATTTGTAGTAAGCAATATAATATATATATATATATATATATATATATATATATTTTAATAACGACATATATATTTCTAATACTAAGAAAGTTAGTTTATTTTATTCTCAACATCTGTATCTTTGAATACTAAAAAGCAATTTTATTTTTATTTTAGTATTTTTGCATAAATATTTCTTTTATTCAGTATTGAGAATCCATTTTCAACGTTTGGTGCAAAAATGTATCAGTACTTATTGAATATTGGTTATAAGTATTAAATATAATGTTATAAATCTCTTTATTAAATAAGAAAATAATCTAAGCAAATAACAGAATTTAATAGTTTAAAAGCACAAATGTATTTGATATTTTTCTTTCCAAATTTTTAGAGTGCTCCATTTGCGCTATTAAACTTTCTCGATAAGGTTTTGGTAAGTAAATTATTGAATAAAGGTTTTCAATAGAAAAACGAGGTTTTATGGTAATCCACTAAAATTTACCTAATTATATTGGAGGAAATTTATTAAATTCAGTGTCAGATGTTACAGTTGTTTTAAAGCACAACAGTTTGAAATGTCTTGCTTCGTACCATTTGCTATTGTAGGGATAAATCAACCTTCCAAATGA